AAGGTAATGACTGTAATTTAAAGGAAACATCAACCATCAATTACAGCCATTATCTTGTTGAAGTGTGACCATCAAAGTCCGAAGCCTTTTTACTATTGAACGTGCGCTCTAATGGGCTGATTACCAAGATGTGGAGCACTCAAGAAGCTAGAGAAACACTCTCTGCACTGCCTCTTTATATTTATCAAATAAACAAAACAAACACATCAAATGTTTCAACCACAACATTTTTTAATGACAGTTCAAAATGATAGTTGTTATACATTCTGATAGTTGTTGTACATTTTAATTTGAATGTATTGTGTTGGTTGGGAGTAAAAACAAAATGACACAATTAAGATCAAAACTTTATTATTAACCCTTTAACTCCCAAGATCTAGTTGTTAATTCTCCCTTCTAGCTGCTTGACATTTCCCTGTAAATTAGTTATGAGAATTTGGTGTCCAATCAAGATAAAAACTTCTACCTGATTGGTTTCAGCATTCTCGTTACCTGTTTGCTGGATCATGCATGGATATTATGGGGATAAGTTACTTGTTAGTCACTTTAGGGAGTTAAAGGGTTTTAGTGGTCAATAAAATAGCAGTGTAACAATACGCAACAAAAGCAAAAGGCATTTAAACAACCAGATAACTGCAGTGTTATCTGGAATACTCGTTAAAACTTATGAAAATGGAAACGAACTCTAATGCCAAACTCAGCAGTAACTAATGATTTCAATTGCATATGTGCACCAGCATTATCCAATGAGCATTTAGGAAAAATTTTGTCAAACATGTCATGAATGGTAAGTTCACTTTAAAACAAACCAAAACGAAACCAATTTCTATACCCTTTTATCTTGAAGAGCTCAGATTCAGTGTAAATATGAATATCTGATGAATTATACAAGAATTCCTTCCTGCATAAGAATCAGTTCTTCTGGCTATAACATTGATTACAGTTTGGCTTTTAAAAACACATCAACAGTTGAAAAGATTGCAATCCTGAAGCTCAGATTTTCTTGAGATATTAGATCTTACCAAAATAATCTTGAGAAAATGCTAAATCATATAAAGAAAACAGCCTTTCTGCGGATGGAAGAGAGAGTTGCTGAGTTAGTCTTGGAAGAGACAGAACATTCCCACAAGTATGAGCTGTGGGTATGAAATTTCCCTTGACATCAATTTTTTCACTAGTTTGGACTTGATTGGTAAGTTTGGTGATCTCATTTGGAATAACAAATGAAATAACTGGTAGAGTAACAAATCCAAGAGCTGGCTCATGACTTGCACCAGTGACAAATTCCAGTATATTACTAAGGTCAAGGATTTTTTCCCCACAACTTCTCCTGCCACTTGCTACCTCTCGAATATACCTTACGAAAAGCTGATAAACTTCCTTTTCATACTTTAAGGCATTACTTCCTTCTTCAGAAAAGCTTGGTTTCAAGAGATGTTGCAGTATTGGAACAGTGAGCTTGCCCTCTGCACCTGGTCTCAATAGATACTGTAACATAGGCAAATGACAAAGAGCTGATAACATTCCAAGTTGCTCAAGGCCTCTTTGCAGTTCAGGTACACATGGGCTGGAGGTTTTGGATGATGACAGAATTTCTTGGAGAAGGTCCTCTTCTATGTAGGTTGGCATTTGACCATTTTGAAGCATCGCCATGGTAATCATTAGCCCTACAAAAAAATAGTCCTTTGAAAGGAAATTGCAAAGGCCTTGGTCAAAATATTTCTTCTTAATGGCCTGGTTTACAAGTCTGATCCACTGTTTCCGAGGACCCCCTTGATCAACATACTCCTCTCCCATAAAATCAACACAAAATGTACATCTGTACTTGCAAATAAACTCAAGTTCACTGAATGTTGACTCAAGTAAGTTATCATGGTTAACTGTGATGAGGTTCACATCTCCTTCAAGTGTTTCTTCACTGGTTGACATGTCAAGCTCTCTTCCTTCATTTATTTCCTGCTGTAAAAATCTGAGCACTTCTAATGGTTCAGAGAGATTCAAAGATTTGGCTTTGTCTAATATTGATTGAATGTCAAAAGGGTAATCAATATCACAATATCCTTCACATGTTGCTGGAGACACAGTGGCTGTAGTAGACTCTTCTTTAGCAGGTTCAGCACTTGTTGAAGTTGAAGATGGCTGATGTTTAGCTTCCACAAGTATTACATCATTGTTATCAATTTCACTTTCTTTATGATCAAAGTCAAACACAGACTTAGATAGCATCTCCTCGATTTCTTTATCCACATGTGGAGGATAGTCAAGTAATTTAACAATGATATGTCCTGTGGGTGATATGGACTTGAATAGCAATGTAGCATCGATCTTTTTACCACTTGGGATATTGGGAGTCAGCAGAGTTCCCCCACAATTTTTGACTATTTCAAACCTTAGGTCTTCCATTTCAGTGCCTTTCAGAAGGGATGAAAACTGCTTATGCAACTCTTCAGCGTCCCAATTCTTGTCCACGTCAAAGCCTGAAACAACTCGTCACTCTCTTTCCAGTTGAACTTTTTCAGTTTTCAACGGCATATGTTCATGTCCTTTCTCAATGATAATTACATCTGGTGTTACAATAGAAGACCTAACTGGGCGCCCGACAGGGTATGCTGTACATTCATACGGATGAACTCTTGATCGCCATGATGATCGGTGGCCAGATGAACGTTGCACTGTGCTCACTGCAGATAGCGAGTTTAAAGTTGGAAATCTTCTCTATAACTCGCTTATAGCTGAAGCACTACTACTAGAAGCTAAAATATTCTGTGTGGCAGATGGTACAGTGCCGTTAGTTATCAGAGATGCCATTCTGGTGATATTTTCAATTGCTTCTTTCACAATTTGCTTGATATCATCAGCTTGATTCGCGACCATTATGAATGTGGCATGCACATGGGAAGAATCCCCATGCATCACCTTGGTCACATAGCAATGCTCCCGCATCGACTCATGGGATATGCTTAATAATTCGAACACGTCAAAAAATAATTGTACACGAAAATAATTCAAACAGAAAAAAATTATCGTACACAAAAATAATTCAACTATAGAGAAAAATAAAGAAATAAAGTAAAAATGAATTAGTGCCAAATGATTACAACTTGGATAAAAATAATAAAACCCTAGTTGATAATTGAAAACCTTGACAAAAATAATTGCCTGACAATACAAAAATAATTCAATGTTTACCATAAACTAAAAAGCAATTTTCACCAGAACGGGCCTCCATATCTTTCCCTTTCCTCGTTGATGCAGGGAAATTGCTTTCGCATTGAGGATTTCTTGTTAGGAGTGAAACTCCCTCGATTGCACGATGCTCAATGGATAGTTCTTCTCCTTTAGATATCTTTCTATGGCACTCTGCATGATTTTAAGGGATTCTGGCTCATAATCATCTCCGTCCTTTTTTCTTACTTCGGCGGAAAACTTACTCAGGACTTTGTCAAGTTCTTCAGGCGCCCTTGTTTTGATGGAGACATATTCAAGATGGCGGCATTGACACCAGCTTCTGAAAACATTCATCCATTGTTTTGTGAAACGGGACGTATTTTTATTGGAAGGGACAGACTTTAGCTCATGTATTTCATCGCTTGAAATGATGGCAAATCTTACAACATCCAACTCTTGTAGTGGCTTTTGATTTTCTTCGTTTGTTGTTGACTTGGTAGACCCGGGATTGCGCAGATTTTGAGCTTGAGAAGGTACAAAATTGTCAAAATATTCACCAAAATGTAAACAAAAAGTGGGAAAGTCCCTGGCATGTTGGTCTTCAGCCTGAAGAATCTCATTGTCATCATTCAACAACTGGAAGAAATTAAAGTCATCCATTTTTTGGGGGGAAAATAAGAGTTTTGGAAACAAAAGTTGCAAAATTTGCCAGATGATACTCTTTGTTTTTCATTTTCCTGCAATGTGATCGGTCACTTTAAACAAGCCTTGAAATCTGATTCGTTTGTTTTAAGTGTAAATTCCTCATTGGCTGGGAAAAAGATGCGATTTAAAGCAAAAACTGGTGCGATTTGGGAATAAATCGNCACTCATGGTCGAAGAACGGAAGCAGAGTAAGTAAAAAAAAATAATTATAGCAGGTCAATTTTGGGATTTTCACAGTGACAACGGTAAATTAGCTGGAAATAGACTAAAAGCTATGCTAAAGTAACACTATTGATTAAGACAGTTTGCTTTCATTTCCTTGCATTATTTTTCCTTTGCATGATTCACATCCCTGACTCATTTATGATGTTTTTTTTTGGGGGGGGAGGGGGGGCGTGGAGGGGATGGTGTTTACCAGCCAGTACAGATACAAACACAACGAACTTTATTCATGATGTCAGCCATGGCTTAATACACACACACACACATACAGACTCAAAATGCTTCTTCCCATTATATCTACAATTTATTATTTGTTGTTCTGTTAGGTTTCTGAGGTCAGTGGCTTACCGGCAGTTTACCAGGCTACTCTGGGATTACATTGGTAGCTCGAGGCGTTATCCACTACCCTGTTGTGCATATAGCAAGATACGAAAGCATTTTCCAGCTGAGAATGGACAATACTGCGGCTTTGAAGATGATGAAAATTAATGTTTCTGGACTGGCAGTTTTTTGAAAGACCAAAACTATGTGAATTCCAACTTTGTTCATTTTAACACAAAAAACACCAACTCTAAGGGCCATCAAAGGTAGAGTGAAATAAAAAATAATGGCCCACTTTTGTACATTATTTTAATTGTTTTCATTGAACACACTATTATTATCCTGATGTTAATTTCTAACCTAACCTCACCCTGATAGTCCGATGAAAGACTGCAGCAAGGCCAAACCAGTTTTGAAATTATGCAACATTGAAATTTGCGAGGGGGAGAAGGGTTACGGGAAGTATAAGGGTCAACTGAAAATTCTAGTGAGGGGGGGAAGTTTAAAATGAAACACCTTCCATGGGGGAAGTATGGCTATTTTCTGCAACCACACACTGAAAATTTAATACAAATCTAGTAGCATTAATTATTGTCTTCTGGTTGACACCGGTCCCTCTTGTGACCCCGTTTTGGTTGTCCACACTTTGAACAGTGAGGAGGTCTTCTACCACTGGCCGTCCTCTCATTTGTCTCTTGAAGCTCCTCCTCTGATGTAACATGTAACATAAAAGGAAAAAAATTAATTATACAGATCAGTGCAGGAAAATTTATGGCAAAATGAACCAACACATCTCTTTTGTTTTATTCCCAGTAGTATTTTCTTTGCTGAAATACCATGTAGTGTACAGTGTGCTTGCATGTGGAGGCTGTCAGAGACAGTACATTCACATAAATCTAAGAAAATTAATCCCTACAAAAACCAGCCATCATGTTAAATGTCATTTCAATAAACAAATAACAATAGACAATGTACCAGTGCATGTAGGCGGGATTATTACTGTTTCCCTTTCTTTCCGTCGCTTATATTTGATAATTGCCTCCCCCTTATCTTCTTTATCCTCCAGCATGCTGTGCATGGGATCAGGGACTTCATGCTTTAGCTCTTCTTCCAGCAACTTAAGTTCTGCCCTTGGGGTGGTTGTAAGGGTTTTGTAGATTTCTGCAACATAATCTGTTCAAAAGACAATCTATTTTAGTAGTTTTGTAGTATTAAATGAGGATAGTTTGGTATTATGTTCATTATATTCATGCATTGATGTATTTAGAGATTGATAGCATACCATAGTTCGATGCCACTTTGGCTGCCCTTACTGTCGCTACTCCCTCTTTAAATTTTAGGTATTTGACATGTAGAATAGGCTTTCCCTCGTCATCAACTTTGGT